GTTAAAAGGCTGACGTTTCCAGCATTAGCCCTTCATCAGAGCAATAGATTAATTGACAGTCTGGGAAGTTGACAAATTAAAAAATCGATTCCATGTTGTTGTGTATCTGATCAGCAATAGATCACAAATGATGTCAAAATGTGGTATGAACAAAAAAGTGGCAAAAAAGGCTCAACTGAGTTTGTCACTGATTCTCTTAAATCACATTTTGATATCTTTTATAATCTATTCCTGAACAGACCCACAACAACAAGGAATCTATTTGTTTTGTATAAAAAAGAGCAAAATATTGGTACTGGTGATGTCATCTAATCATCTGTCTACTGATAGTTCATGGGTGAGAATCAATCGCAAAGCATATAAACCATTCAGGTTTAAATAAATTAACCCTTTCATTTCCAAAATCTAGACTTCAATAATTATCCCCTTTTGCCTGCCATACATTTCTTATTTAGGCCCTGAGACTGTCAAGTGAAATTTTTTTAAAAAAATTATTCACTTCTTGATATTTTTCTGAAATGATTCCTGCATGTTGAAGAATATGGTCATATAATGGGAACAGGGTGAAAATCAAACTACAGGTAGTTATGGAATTTTCTGCCCTAGAAAATTTATAAACTACAACATTTTGAAGACAAATCTTTTCATAACTGTAATAGATGATATTGCACAGTTTTCTTGATCTCAGTATGAAACAATAAATGAAAAATTTTTTAAAAACTCTCGCTCATTAACCTTATGCTTTTTTAAGTCAATCACAGTTGTCAGTCCAAAAACACCATCTTCTGATTCATCATCATTATCATCATTATCAGTTTTGGCTTCACCATTGTTTTCTTGATCATCATCATTCACAACCTAGGAGTCAGAGGGACAATGAAATGAAAAATGATTCATGCTACTAATCCTTACAACCATGACATCTTAGTTGAGGATGATTTGAAGTGTTAGAAACTGACTCAGAGGTTTGTGAGACTAATGTTAAAGGCCCAATAGCATGCAAATTATTTGCACTATCCTAATGAAATTAGAAGGAAACAATTCATTTTTATAATTTTGACCATTATAATTTAACAGAATGGGAGCTTATTTTTTCATACCAAGAGGTTTTACAAGATAAGTTTATTTTCACAAGATGGACAACATTATTACTACTTAATTACCTGACCTACCTTAATCAGAGTGGTTACTTCTGGTTGAGAAATGATCAGATCACTGAGTTTTGATAGATCCAAAGTACTTTTTAAGAACAACTGTTGATTATAAAGCCACAAATGAAAGTCAGCCACAAAAGCGCTAGCTGATACAACTACAGTGGAAATAAGCTTTAACAGATGCTTTTAAGCAAGCAACCTTCAAAAACCAACCAAATTTGCTGAATTAAATGCCAGCCCCTGCCACAAATTTTTTAGCATTCCAGATACAACAGTTAGTCATAATGTTAGTCACTGCGAATAATAACTTACAGTAAATGATTTGTAAATAAAACACAAAAAAAAAACCTTTTTATACTATCTGTGTCTGACTTTTTGCTGAGATAGAAGCATAAATGTCTGATTGACCATATTTACAACAAGAATGGTGTAGATTACTGATTTGAGCTGTAAATACAAGAGATACTGGAAATTTTCCAATCATGATCCACCCGTAGATGCTGCAATCCACCAACTGAGGTGGCATTCAACCATGAATAGCATTTATCAGTTATTTTCCTTCCATTTGCAGTAACAGTAATCAAGGGTGGTATTAACTGCATTAAGTTAATTCAGGAATTAAGTTTGACAAAAGCATCAAACTTTTTCATTAAGTTCCACAGAGCAGTTAAGTGCGACAAGCTCTGCCCTGCTTCATGACTCTAGCACAACACTGATTCAGACATTGTACCCCTGTCATGCCAAGCAAAATTTATAAATTAATTAATGCACTTCGGTGGGATTGCATTACCATTGGCTGAATTTCACACAACATTAACACAACATCTGAATCAAAGTTGTGTTTCTGCCATGCTATAGTCAAACATTAGGTTCAGCACAGCATAAGCATGATGTCTGAACTGGGCCTTAGTCACTCAAGCTAAGTTCTCTCATTGACTCACTTGTTGTAACAGGCACCGTATTCCATTGAAATCTTCTTCATTCGGAGGAAATGCTTCAAATTCAACTGGAATCTCCTGAAAACTCAATCGGTACAATATTTTGTATATTTTGTAATATGTTTGCTATTCCTAGATCTCCTTTCCAATAATATGAAGAACACCAGTGATTTCGTATTATTACAAAATTTAGAGTATGATCTGTGCCAGCTTTTATTTACATGTGCAACCCTTACGGAAAACATTATGAACCTATACTTCATTATGCATACACTGCTTTGCTAAAAGAAAACACCGGCAAAAATCTATTTCCTTTGAGACTAAAGCTTTGATTATTCGGATGCACTGTGACTTACGTTTGTGTAGGTAGTACTTTAATTTGTAGAAATTCATATTAAACAGACGATTTACTAAGAAATTTGTTATAGTTCTGCAACGCTTCCTAGTGGTATACCATGGAATGACACAAGTATCACTTGCATTTTCTTGTTATACGCACAAGCCTCGATCGGCAGAGAAGCAAGCCTCCATCTCCTCGATAAGCATAAGTTTGCACGTGCTTAAAAAAACCTTGGTTAGAAAGACGTCTGCGAAATAGAAATGGTCTGCTCTTACCATGTTTTCATCAAAGCTTTCATCTGAGCCATCCGTATTTACGTCTGATGAGGAATCTTCGTCAGAATCTTCATCGCTTTCTTCTTGCCTTCTTTTCTCGCCCTTTTGCAAAGACTTTTCCCCGACGTCGTCCGAATCCGAAGAGGAATCCGCCATCTTGAAGGAGACAACAGATGTGCTTAACATGAAGTAGTCTGTTTAAAAAATAAATAAAATTTAACAATTAAAAAAAAAGAGTCTCGACCCATTCCTCCTGCGCTTAGAAAAAACAAAATGGCGGAGTGACAGTAGGGTGAGCAAGCAAGTTTGTCATGTTTTTGCAGGCAATTCTTGGGAATTTTGGAAAATATAGTGGACATGACAACTGAAAGTGTTGCAGAAAGCTCGCTCCTTGGGCTGTCAAGAGGTAAAATGAGCTAAATTCTTGCAGTTTAGAATTGGCTAGTAACTAACAATAGTACTAATGCGATCTCATATCTGTTTAACTCAGTACGATATTTTTCCTGTATTTTTGCATTAGTTACAACAGTTAATGATGAAGAATATACTTCTCATTATTGGCCGAAACTGAAAAGTGCGATTTTGTTAATTTTACAACAAAATCCTGGAGAATTTATTCCGATTTCGTATGAAGAAATGTACAGGTAAGTGTACGTTTGGCGTAGATATACAGAAACATTCATTAACAATATTTGCGTAAGCTTAAACCTATATTTAAATGCTTTAGGACTAATTTTCCTCCTTGTGTTATTCGCCATAGTAATTGCAACGACGCGATGACGACTAAAACATTCGCCTTGTTACAATTTGACCAAATAAAAGTTGACTTGGAAATTCTCTGAAATGATCGAGTATTTGTTTTACTCTCAGCATCCCTTAATTTTCCTATCTACAGTCATTTTCCTTCCTAACAGTCCATGTAGACTCTAGGGATTCAGTTAAGCATAAATCTTCACGCTAGTGGGCAGCGACTACATTTCTTGAGGAAAATCCTGTATGCTTGAGCTCTGCAAGCTGTTTCAATGAGAAGGCTACTTTCTCAAGTTCACTTTTCTTGCGTGATTATCTTCTCAGCACTGTATATAAATGTGTATGCCAGCAGTACTCTGATAGAATGTACAACAATCTGATGGAACTTGTGACTTCCTATCTCAGACGTGTTGCTGAAGAACTGCAGGTATGCTTAGTACTGTTAGTTATGGTTGACTGGTCAGGAAATACAACAGATCTTTTTATTGTATGTTTTTATCAACATAACCCTTTTAATTACCCCTAGGAGTGACCAGCAGCTAATTTCTCTTCTCAGTATCCCTGCAGAATCCTTTGTTAAGGTCTTGAGAATAATAGAAATGAACACTAAGTAATGAAGTTCTTGATTATTAGACAAATTCTCCTTGTCAGCACCATGGGAAATGTAACCAGAGAGTTGTATGGAGAATTTACACACTAACATCAGGGTGTAAAGGGTTACCTTTTTTTTTTTTGAACCTGATCATGCAAAACAGATAAGAATACTCTCATGGTTTTGAGCAAACTGACCAACAAAATATTTTCTTTACAGTTAGTCAATGTGTTGTCATCATTATGTGTTCCATATCATTGGAATTCCCAAGAACTGTTCTTCACTCAAGAAGGGCCATTTTTTTAAGCTTGTTGTTAAGATTTATTTTGCTTGTTGAAATTGCCAGGTAACCCCAGCAGAAGCTTATCTTGAGAAGTTTAATTTTGCAATGGCACAGTTCTTCCAAGCAGTTAGTGGAATAGTAGCCATCTTTAGTTACATGGTGAGATCCATTCATACAGCAAAAATGAACAATTTATTACTTCTGGGAGAGAAACTTTGCTTGCATAAATAATGAGGAATATTTACTATCAATAATATTTTGATTATTTATAATATTATCTTCAAATTATTGATGATAGTTATTACAACTGCTTAAGTCTTTGAAGTGATCCACCTATAAGTTCCCCCCACAATTGTAATATGTTAAATAGAATTAAAAAAATTTACAAACTTGTTAGCTGGAGAAAGTTCCCTTGACTTAGAAATGTAAAATCTAAATTTCCCACATTAGAAACTACATTGAAGCAGTTGGGGAGAATTAATGTACTGATATTAGGAATAAAAGGGGCAAGATTGACGTTGTAAGATTTCAATTTTGCAAAATTCTCCCTAGACCTTTAAATCTTTGGCTTGTGGAAGAATTCTACAAAACACAGTTATGGAAAAAGAAGCAAAACCACTAAAGTCGTGCATGGAAAGAAATGACTGTCTAGTGGAAAGATTGCAAAAAAAGCACAAGAGTACTATGGAACAAAATGGAAACCAATTAAATCATAGACAGCAAGAAATTACTTTTATTGTAATCTTTCTTTTTTCTTATAGAACCGATTTTATGTGTCACCAAAACTTCATACTGATTTGAAAGCAGAATTGTGGAAAGTCTTCACAGAACTTGTAGCTGACAATCCACTCCTGTTCAGTAAGTCAACCAATTTTTCCATGTTGAAAATTTACCACTATTTGATCTGTACTGTCAAGGTGTGAAAAAGTATCTGGTTTCTTTTTCACAAAGAACAAAAATTAATCATGTGAAGGGGGCTAGAAAATGACCAACCAATTAACAAACTATTGAAAGACTTCAGACCAATTAACTGACTGGTTGACATACTGATCGGATGACTGACTGGTGGACTAAATACTGACTGGCTCCATGGCTGGCCGACTGACTTATTGACTGATGAACTGACTGACTGACTGATGGACTGAACATTGACTGACCAACTGACTGGCAGACTGACTGACTGACTGACTGACTGGCCGACAGACTACATGTAGCTGGCTGGCTGATTGACTGACTGATTGGCTGACTGATGAACTGAAGACTGACTGACTTGCTGATCTTCTAAATAACTTGCTGGCTCACTGATTTACTGATAGTCCAAGACATTGATGGACTGACTAACTGATGAACTAAACACTGACTGATTGACTGACTGACTGATCAACTTATTTGACTGACTGATAAATTGCATACATTTAAAACTGCCTTTGTGCTAATAATCCAACATAATGTAGGTGAAGTTCTCTCTAAAGGATCTGTTTCCTCTTAGGAGTGATTGATGAGGTTTCATCCAAGCCATTTGGCGTCAACCCACAGATAATGATGTCCATAATTAAAGGACTTTATTCACTCAAACCAGGTTTGTATATTACTCACTTGAATTCCCCATCTCCGATTGATTTCATGCAGAGATATAACATAATCCTTTTTGCAGAGTTTTCTGAACGCAATCCAATGCTCTTCGCCCGATTTATTCCCAACATTTTACCACCAACACAATGTGACCAGCTACCAAGTCTAATTCAAGAGGACCGCTTGTTACAGGAGGACCTGGTGACGAGCCAGGGCTTTTCAAGGTAAGAGGTGTTTTGTGTAGCGTGACGTAAGTTGTCCAAGATTGTTTTGGTTTGCGTGACTGAGCCTTGTGATTGGGTTAGAAAAGTGGAGTCACTTCTCAACCAATCAGATTCTAAACTAAAAACCAGTCGCGACTGACACGATTTCTTCTCTGTCGTTTCCCGCCTTTTTAAGCTGGTTTCGTGTAAATGCTTTTTGTTCTTATTGGTTTCTTGCAATAGCTATCTTTGTTTTGAGAGGGAGTCCTGACTACTTTAACTTTGGTTTGAGATATTCATCGGAAAGTGCTCCAAACAGCAAGCTTTTCTACACAGATTCTAATTTGTCTTGTTTTCCTGTAACCAACTGAGTTTTTTCCCTGGCAAATTCCTTTTCCTTTACCCAAAGGAGTATAGCAGTGTAAGGATTCAAGAACCGTAATTGACGTGTCTTTGACGAGTTTTTTCAAGCCAGTGAACTACTCATGAAATCTATTCCTTAGCATGAAGCGCTTTTCATTTGAGAGTTAAAGTGCAATTTTCAATTGAGGGTCGAGAGTGATAAAGGATTGCTTTGGTTTTACCCTACTTCGCTCTGTGATTGGTCAAGAAAACTCGTGCCACTTTCTCAACCAATCAGATGCAGAACCAAAACTAACTGCAACTTGGTCGCCGGCGTTTTTCCCGCGCTTTAGGTAGTTTAGTTGTCTTTACTTTGAGTTCTCGTTGGCTCTTAAAGGTATTTTCCTTTCTTCTGATTGGCTGCTGTGATTACTTTGTTTCGGGTTTTACGACAGTCAATCGTAAAACGCTCTGAAGTAAAACTCAATACAGTTCCAGATTACTTGTGACACTCACGTTGAAATGACTTTAATATTATTCCTTTCCAATCCAGAGAGGACACGGGGAAGAAAAGAAGAGGAGAAGATTTCCAAGGCAGATAAGAAACGTCAAAACGCCATACTCTATTTTTAAATCTATTGCAACTATATTGTGGAAGTAATTAAATTTCGAGGAAAGCGTGAAAGCCCAACGAACAAGAAGAGGCAACCAACCGACCGGTTCCGAAAGCAATTTAGCGAAAAGGACATCTCAATTTGGCTATACCTCAGCGTAAACGGAAGCACAGTGGTTCTGCACCAAATCCTTCTTCCTTCACTTATCGGGTTCTTTTCAGTTCGCCAGAAGTCAAGGACGGCTCACTATTCTTTTGTATTTCTGGAAACACAAGGAATTCTTAAATGTGGAAATTTTATGTTAGCTTAAGGCACCTTCAGGGGCACCAATCTGTTTATTTTACTCCTTAGAGGAAAAAACCCCACTTTATTTTTACATGGGAGTATCCCATGGCTTTTGAATATGTGCCTAGTGTTGCAGACTGCATAAAGAAGTTCATTTCTGTTGACAATATTGAGGTGAAGGTAAATTCTGATCTTCAGTGGTAGAGTAGGCAATGTAATCCGTAATGAAGACATCCATTTGTCAATTGAAACCTAGAAGTGAATCCACATATCAATATTCTCGCAATTAAAAAGTATTTTGTGTCATAGCCTTACGTTTTGAAGGAATTTATTTTCCTTTAAATGCTAAGTAACACACCCCGTAAGCCTCAAGCTAGCGTTGCAGACGTATTGTTTGTGATTGAAGGCCTCCATCCTGGATCTCAAAGCAGAGGCAGAGTCAAACCTGGTGGTAGTCTCGTTTGCCAACCTTGTTTGGTTTCGTCGCGAAATAATAATATCAATTTTCCCCCCCCCTCTCATAGAACTTCGGCATCCCAGGTTAAAAGACTTCAACACTCCGTTTATTACCAGAACCACTGACAACTGTCTACTCATTAGCGACGACCTCTAAGATGAATCATCATCAATTTTTTCTCTGTGTATTCATCAGAGACAACCTCTAAGATGAATCGTATAGCTTGAGGGACAAGCATCAATTTTTTTTCCTCTTTAAATTGCTACTCTAAGGCGGGCGTGCGATGTAAGCGCGTGGCTAAGAAGAGAAGAAGAGCGCTCCCTCAGTTGTGCGTGTCTCGCCTCCCGATTGCTTCACGCTTGCCCCCTGCTAGTTACGCGCCTAAAAACACGACAACAAAATTGAAGCCTGGTCCGTAGACTGTTAATCGTCTTGGATCGTGGGTTACCAATGATAGCGAGAGACGTCGTTACCGCCATAAACACTACAGGTGTTGTGGAGGAAATATTTCTGTAGAGTACCTAACAGTTAGATTAACCGCGTTACATTCTGTAATTTAAAAAAGTATTTTCCATCCACTTTCCGAATTCTTTCTCGCACAATGAGGGAACTGCACAACATGTTCTTCACTCACAATGTAATTTTCAAAATAGCTTTAATTCACTGTTGTTGAGTTTGTGTTAAATATACAGTATTTAGCGCATTGAGAGTATCTAAATTTTACCGTCTCAAATGAAGGTTTTGAAATGTTTCTTTAGGGCTGTATTTTCCCTTTCATATCGTAGCAATTGTTGAGGCAATTAACAGTCTTTTTACACGCGGTTAGTACGTTCACTGACTGTCTATGGTCTTTGAGATAATCGTCTAGATCGCGAGAGATATAAAACTGAGCAACGATGGCTTTTACGCCCCGCATTAGGTCTCGCGCCCTTGATTCGTACTTTCCCGTTTAACTACTAAAACAGGTCGCTGATGCCTGATTATTGTATAAAAAGAGAAGAAATCATGACAACAAGTTACCTCACAAAACTCTATGAACGTTTGAACCAACTATGCCTTGTAATGCACTCTATTCTGTAGTAACCGGTCTTGTCCCAAGCACCTGGTATGTGCGTAAGCGGTCGATAGCGTTGAAAGCGTGTTCTGATTGGATACTCAAACTACAAATATCCTTTACTGATTCACCTCTGAGCAACGCCTGCGGGATTTGCGGAAATATTGTCATCGTAGGAGGAATAGATGAATTAAAATCATATTTTTGTTCTTTATTACCTCGCTGGTTTAGTATGTACTAGAACAGTTCAGCAAAGTGGAGCTGGCTGGCGGTAATCATTTACCTCGCTTCTTCGCAGCTCATTAAATATTCACTATTAGCCACTTCATTTCGGTAAAGAGTTGTAAAATACTTTAGCTCAGCTTGTTGGTCTTCGTACTGTCCGCATCGGTTTCTGCGCGCTTAGCATAAATTGAAAGAAAACTAAATCCCTGTACGAGTCGGGAAAGATAACAGGCGCTATCAATGTCCAGATATAGATGAACGTGCTGAAAATAGCAGCAGAGAGTCGAATCCATACCGCTCCCCATCCGCAGACTAACTTGACACTAAAATGTTGAGCCTCTTCTGGCCGGTACCAGCTAGTTAATGTCATCATGGAATAGAGAGCGGCTAAACAAAAAAGCACTTGGAAAAATGAGTAACTGTAGGCCACGCCGTCACGCTCATCATCAAATACGCAACCCCCTTCCTCGAAAACGTCGACACGCACTCTAGTGTCCTCTCTATCGGGTACCTCGTGAGTTTCGTGTGTTTGCTTGCGTGTAACGTGTCCTTGTTGTAGTTTGCCGTACTGCGGAGCGCGAACATCGCGTAAACAGGCGTAGATTAACACAAAGAACATGAATCCTAAACTTAACAATATTTGAATGTTACTAAATGGAGTTCCAGGGAAGAGATAGTCACGTGATGGGTTACAAACTTCATCAGGTTCATTTGACAATGCTAACCACGTGATGAAGGTATTGTAAGAGGTGGCGACCGCTGCTTGAAGGAGTCCCGAACGCGGGCGCGCATCTTGAACGACAGGATTAACAGAAATGTAAGTGGCAGCAACACAGAGATAAACATTAAACGTTATAAAAAACATGTTATTATGACAGCCAGGCGCCCATGCGTAGAGAATATAGAAGGAGATGATTGAAATAATGGAGATTGCGTAAAGTGTTATGGTTGGTATCCACAGAACCATATACCATAAGTTCAGCTGTGTGTAAGATGTAGAGGCTTCGAGTCTCTCTACACAGCTGGCATTCCACGAGTGTACAAAGTCAATTAACAGCACAAATTGCAAAATTATAAAAGCAAAGCCTCCGTTTAAGCCAAAGAATGTCCATACTTCGCCAGTGTATTCCGAATGCGGTATAAGCAGAAATAAAAACGTTAGTAACGATAAAACTAAAATCTTGACTCCCCAAAAGCCATTGTTGATCCGTGCTCGGCTGTCACGACTCGATAACACGCCATATGAAGCCAAGCTCTGGACAAAATAAAAGATGGCTAACATGAAAAGAACTCTGTACACGGACGCGTAACTAAGTAATGTGTCACAGAAAAAGTAGGAGACAGTTTGGCAAAATTCATCGCCAAGAATGTGTCTTGTTCGCGGTGTTAGCAAAAAACAACAGAGCAAGGAAGCCCCTAACAGAAGTCCAATGTAAGACATTCGGGTGAAGATTGATCGGCGAAGGCGAACTCGAGGGCGAAAACAACGTGCACAGAAATGTAAACCACAGCACAGAACCACATCGAGTTTATAACAGACTTCAAGTAACGCATCTACTACTCCGCGAAATCTTGGATTTTCACGAGTGTTTGTTTCGCTGGTTCTCGGGGTTTCCACAATAACTTCATGAGTCGATGAAGTTGACGCAGTCGCCATTAAATTGCCCTCCACCTTTCAGCGGTTTTTTCAACGCGTCGAATGAAAACCAATTCTTTCCTCAATTTCGTGGTTGAGAGCTTGAAGTGGAAAAAGCAATGTTGTTAGTCTTTTTTAACACGTGTCAGTGATTTAGGGAAACCTTAAATCTTTAATGTCGCATGTTCCCTTGTAGTCATTGTTTGAGATTCTTTGTTCTATCTGCGGTATCAGAAAATTACAAATATTACCCCGAGAAATTAAATTATCGCAAAAGGTCTGAAAGAATTGAATTTAAAGGCGATAACGAAAAGGAAAGAATTGATACATTTGATGCCTACATGGCATGGTCGACATGACTTGAATTGGCTCCTTACTGATTCGTACTAAATAGCATTATCGAAACAAGATTTGATTCGCTCCATCTTGTAATCAATGTTGCTTTTTCTTCCGATGAATGGTTTTTCAAAACAATACGTCAACGGCTTAATGATTTTTCTTTGAATACTTTATGACCGAGAAATATTCTGTGCCGTCTGGAAGAATTTTAATTTATGAGATGAGCTGGCTGTTTTTTTCTGTTTGTGCGTGAGTACCTGTAATTTGTATTCTCTGCCCACAAGGATGCAAAATAGTTACTTCGCCAAAATGACTTCTACTCGCTAAAAGAAAAGACCAATTTAACCCGAGCCTGGATAAAAATAATTGTCAAATATTTTTGAAGTTAAACGGACAAGAGAGGTTTTTAATGCGTCAGTTACATTTTCGACTTATAGCTAGCTAATGCCTAGTTTTAATAATCTCCAATAAATACATAGAGCCCGAATAAAATGTCTTCCTTTTCCGAAGACACACCTATTGGACAAACAAAATTTTTCTCCAAGCGATGTGATATTCATTCTATACGCAAACTTTGGAGAAAAAATTAAAAACATGTCATATAGTAAAGTTTGACAGAAGGAATTGCATGAATGTGTTTTTACTCCCAAAAAGCCGAATTTTCTTTAAGTTTAGTCATTGCTTCTGTGCTAGTTTTACATTCATGCAGCTTACAAGACTCAAATGTTTTATAGAACTTTCATTGGTTTCTTGGATTTGACCCTTGGTCTTACATAACAATTACGTCCTTACGGTGAACGACCGCTAGGACGAGCGTTTGAACGCGACGCTTTCTTCACTACATTTCTTTATACCCATTTAACTCCGATGATCTGATTGTTAACTCTCCCCTCTAGCTGCTACACAATTCCTTGTAAATTAGTTACAAGAAAATTGGAGTTAGATCAAGATAACAACTTCTGCCAAGTTTGAGTATTCTTATTACCCTTTTGCTGGGTAGTGAATGGATATTATAGGGATAAGTTACATTCACTTTTGGGATAGAAAAATAAAATATCAAAACGCCGCGAATTAAAAGGGAAAAGTCCATTCGAATTC